CCCCCTGATCCACAAGGAAGCCAACGACCTGTACCGGCAGGGCAAGGTGCAGGAGGCAGCTGCCAAATACTACGATGCCATCGCCTGTCTCAAGAACCTGCAGATGAAGGTGGAGCTCCCTGGCCCCTCTCTGGGGTGCACTCGGGCCTCCCCACATCCCTCCCGCTGCGCAGGGCTTGGGAGCTTCCCCTCATCCCCCACCCCCCCCCCCCCCCTCCATCTCATCCTGCAGGAGCAGCCGGGCTCTCCGGACTGGATCGAGCTCGACCAGAAGATCACACCCCTGCTGTTAAATTACTGCCAGTGCAAGCTGCAGTGCGAGGAGTACTACGAGGTGCTGGATCACTGCTCCTCCATCCTCAACAAGTACGAGGGTAAGGAGCCGCGGGCCAGCCCAGCCGGCTGCGGTGGGGGCCCGTGGGGTGGGGGGGTATGGGGGGGGCCCCAACGCTCCACCTGTCCAGCAGCTCTCTCTCCCCGCAGACAACGTCAAGGCCTACTTCAAGCGAGGGAAGGCCCACGCGGCGGTGTGGAACGTGGCGGAGGCGCAGGCTGACTTTGCCAAAGTGCTGGCCCTCGACCCCTCGCTGCGCCCCGTCGTCTCCAAGGAGCTGCGGAGCCTGGAAGCCCGCCTACGCGAGAAGGATGCCGAGGACAAGATTCGCTTCAAGGGCATTTTCTCGCAGTAGAGCCCACGCTCGCGCCGGAGAGCCCAACGCTCTCTGAACAGGTTCTTTTAGATATTCCACATGTGGAATGTACATTGATGTTTATTAATGTTTAATACAAGTTTTACTTATTTGAAGTCATCTGAAGTGACCCAGGAGCTCGCCGCAGCCCGGTGACACGGCGGTGCACTTAAGTCGCAGTATTAAGCGGTGTACAGCGATCGCAGCGCACGGCTGACACGCGGCCTAAAGGTGAAGCTCCTTGCCAGCCTCCAGCCTACGCTCAACGTCACGCCGGGAACGGACGCATGGGGTGACACAAGCTCAAGCCCGCTGCTCTCTGCCAAGTGCTTTTATTTTTTTTTTGGTTTGATGTTTTTATACTTTATGTTGGGCTGAGCCACCGCGCCTGGGGCTGGCCAAGCAGTTTATGACCGAGGGGGCCCCGGTGCCCCAATTCTTACCCCTTCATGCCTGTACTCTGGGCCACGTCCTGCATCGTCACTTCTCAAGGCTGCTGCTATCATCCCAAGACCACGTTTCCTCTATACTACATCATCACGTCAGCATCGTAAATATTTTATATAGAATAACTGCTTGTTACCGCTATCTATATAAAACTTTGGTCGTGCTATGCCAAGATAAACAGAAGTAAAACTGGTCACAGGCACCTGGTCACTTAGAAAAATTACTGTAAGAGGTAAACGAGGTAAAACAAAGTCGCAGGCAGGCCAGGAACAGGTCGGGGGAGGGAGCCTGGCAAGCCCTGGTGCTGAGGCCGTACAACCTCACTGCGAAACAGCCCTGACTTGCTGCGGTAAGCGTTCCACGTCATGGATGTGTTAGAGCTGCTAAATGACTTCACTGTAGAGCCAAGACGACTCTCCTGCAGGCTCCGTCCTGGGCTCACAGTGTCAAACCAGCTCTAATGGCCACAGATGTTGCCATGGGGGGCCCCCCCCACACCACCAGTCCCACACTGCAGGAGCTCAAAGCTGAGCGGGCACGGGGCGAGGGCTGAGCCCGGAGGTGACGGCAGGGGGGCCGAGCTGCCCCGGCCCTGCTCTGCTCGCTGAAGCCAGCGGCTTCCCTCATCCTGCCCCCACGGTCCCTCCGTCCCTGCCCCAACACCCTGGCTGGCCTCTTGGGGAAAAGGTTCAGCCGCTCGTGCGATGCGCAGCTTGATGTCGGCATCAGCGCGTACCTGAGCGCAGCTGCGCAGCCCCGAGACACCCCAGGCTGTGTTTCCCAGCGGGGACAGAGTCCTTTACCCCCCATGACATGTCCTAAATTGCTCGTGACCCAACTGTTGTGCCACAAGGCCACCTCTCTGGTGGCCACCACGTCCCTGGGTCCGAGGCTCCCCGGGGCCGGGGCTTTGCTGG